CTGATTTCCCATGTAATTTCTCCTTAGATGCATTGACTTTTTAAAGAGCGTGTTGTTTAATTTATTTTTTTTATTTTATTTTATTTATTTTTTTGGTACCAGAGATTGAACTTGGGTCCTTGCGCTTGAAAGGCAGGCCACCGAACCGCTGAGCTAAATCCCCAGCCCTGTTGTTTAATTTCTACATTCTGTATTTGTCTATTTGATTTTTCTTCTGCAGTTTGATTTTAAGTTTTACTCTATTGTGGCCAGAAAAAATCCTTAGTATTATTTTCCTTAATTTTTTAAGGCCTATTTTGTGAATTAACATGTTTATTCTTTAAGAAGAATGTGTTTTCTGCTGCTGTTTGATAAAATACTCTTGTTTATATTTATTGGGTTTGATTGGTCTATAGTGTTAAGCCCTCTGTTTCCTTACTGATTTTCTAATTTTCAGGGCATCATTGAAATTTTTACATCTAAGTCTTACTATTACTGTTTCTTCTTTCAGTTTTTTCAGTATTTGCTTCTCTTACTTGAGAGCTGTGATGTCAGGTGCATATATAATTGTTTTATCTGATAAATTGATGCTCTATGATTATATAATCCCCTTCATTGCCTTTTTTGACAGTTGTTGACTAAAAATGTTATGTAAGTATGGCCACCCTTAGTCTCATTATCAGTTGCACAGAATGTTTCTCACCCTTTCACTTACAGTCTTTGTGTGTCTGTATCTGAAGTGAGTCTCTTAAGACAACAAGGTCAGATCCTGTTATTTCATACTTAAATACACTCTCTTTTTAATGAAGTATTTCATCCATTTGCCTTTTAAGCAATTACTATTTGAGAGGGACTTAATAATGCCATTTTGTTTTTTTCTCAGCACCATGTAAATATGTTGTTCTCTTGCTCTCTCTTTCTCTCTTTTTTGGGGGGGTATTTCAGTGATTTAAAAATATATATACTAACATATATATATTATAAACTCCTGGATATTTTCTGTATATAATTTCTCTGTGGATACTGTGAGGATTACATAAAGCACATAGTTAAAACTATTTTAAAGTTTTGTCAACTTAACTTCAGTCATATAAAACAGCTCTAGTCTTGTCTTTTACTTTTCTTTTTTGGGAACTGGGACTCAGACTCAGGACCTCACACTTGCCAGGTAGGCTCTATGCCTCTGAGCTAAATTCTCAGCCCTTCTTGTACTTTTCTTTAACTTGATGTTATCAAGCTAATGTACTACCTTGGGGAGAGTGGGGCAATACTAGAAACTGAACCAAAGGCTTTTTCATTGAGCTATATCTCTGGCACACACACACACACACACACACACACACACACACACACACACATCCATCCATCACAAGATACATAAATTTTGAGGCAGAGTCTTACTAAGTCACCTGGGCTCAAACCTGGGATCTTATTGCCTCACCCTTCCAGAGTGCTGAGAGTACAGGAGTGTGCCAGTGTCAACTGGCTGCATCTTTTTATATTTTGTTTCTATTAACTTATTTTTAGTGCATTCATCTTGTAAATCCTGTGCCAGAATTAAGTGATTTATGTACCAATAGAGGAGTAACACAGGATTCTGTATTGTCTCTATTTACCTTTATTGGAGAGGTATATATTTTTGTATATTTTCAGGGTGTTGTATAATATTCTTTCATTTCTGATTGAAGAACTTCATTTAGCATTTCTTATAGAACTGATCTAGTGTTGTTGAATTCCCTCATGTTTTTGTTATCTGGGAAAGTTAATTTCTCCACTTTTGAAGGGCTGTAATGTAAGAATATGTTTGATTGGCAATTTTGTTTTGTTTTTCTTAGAACTGTGGGTGTATCATTCTTTAGGCTTGTAAGATTTTTGCTGGGCAATTTTTTTTTTTTTTTTTTTTTTTTTGTACCAGGGATCGAACTTAGGACCTTGTGCTTGTAAGGCAGGTGCTGGAACCACTGAGCTAAATTCCCAGCCCTGGGCAATCTGTTTATAATCTTTTCAGAGTTCTCTTACATGTTATGAGTCATTTTTCTTATGCTGCTTTGAAGATTATTTAAATGTGACACTGATAACTTGATTGTAATGTATCACAGTGTAGGTGTTTTGGGGTTAATCATAGTTAGAGTTCTTTGGATGGTTGAATTTGTGTATCTGTTTCCTCCTTCAGATTCAGAAAGTTTTATATACATGCACCTGCTTGTTGTCTCATAAAACTTGTTAGCTCTCTTTTCTTCATTCTGTTTCTTCTTCTGGCTTGATAATTTCAAATAGCCTGTCTTCAAGAGTGCTGATTTGTTCTCCTTAAACAACAGTCTGCTCTTGATTCTTTCCAGGGTTTGACTTGCCTGGCTTGCCTGGACCACATTGATTGAAAAGTAAATGCATAAAATATACAATATAATCATTCTGTATAATTGCCAAAACTTCCTTTATTCAGTACATTTTTTATTATGACACAGGTGTGTCTAGCCCATGGGATGCAATTTGGACACATCTGTTAGGGAGATTTTCATTTCACTTGTGTTCTTTATGCCGTAGTCTGGATATGGTTTGAGTGTGTCTTCCAAGGTTTAATGTATTGAAATCCAATTCCCACTGTGTAGTTAAAAGAAAGTGGAAACAATTGATTATGGTTTCTAGAGGTATGGCTTTTGGAAGGTAATTAGGATTACATAAGGTCATTAAATGAGGTGCTCATGATTGACTCCTGGTGACTATGAAAAGAGAAAGAGATTTTATAGTTCTCTTGTTTCTTTGTATGTCTGTTATCTTTTGTTGAAATTTGAATATTTGTAAAGTCAACTGCTTCCTCCAGAGTTCATGGACACAGGAAGGCTTTCACCAGTCAGCCTGGTTAGGGATCCTGAGGGCCTCTCAAACTTTTTTTTTGGAGATAGTTGCTGGCTTTTGCCTTGATTTTCCATCTGAAGAAGTGTACCGGTTTTTACTCTGGAGCTCCCTCTGGTATTTTATTCAGTATTTCAGTCATCTGTGCTGTTGCAAGCTGTTGATATTGTAGGTCCCCTTGGTGCCTGTCTACATTAATACAACCTTTCTCATGCTGTAGCAATCTAAAGATCTTTAGGGCGTCAGTGTATTCCTCAGTCACAGTCTGCACTCCAAGCCAGGTGTCTTGGTTGGGTGAGATAAAACCAGTGCTCTTAGCAACCTGTCAGAAAATTGGATGCAAATTCCGTTTTTTTCTTTCCTTTTTGGTAGAGAAGCCTCGATTTTGCTGTGCTGTACTGGGAAGTTAATGGGGTGTGGTAGGCAAATGCACATACTTTTCTACCTGTTCCATTGTGCCTCATTTTGGTCTTGTTCTTGCCAAGGGTGCTGCGGCCCCTTATTTTTGGAAGTCGCACAAAGGCAGTCCTGTCCTTGCACTGTCAAGTCATCATCTTCACAGAGGTGTGTCTTCCACCTCCCCCTCTGCCACACTGCAGGTGTCACCAAGCCAGAAAGTTTGAAATCATTTATCAAGTCACTTCTTTCCATGTTCTGAGCAGTTGCTTTATTTATTATCTGTTGTTTTTTTCTCTTGTTATGATTTAGATTTAGATTGGCCCCTGAAAGGCACGTGTGTTCAGAGATTGGGCTTTTGGAAGGTGACTGGATCCTGGGGGTGCTATTGCTGACTGACTTTTAGGAGGTGGGGCCTGCCCAGAGAGGCAGGTTACCAAGGGGCTTGATCTGGAAGGGTTTCTCTTCCCTCTCTAACTCCTCTCTGTGCTCACTGCTTCCTGGCTGCTGTGACATAAGCAGCTTTTCCTTAGCTGTGCTCTCCTGCCCTATACTCTGTTGCAGCCCTCTGATCCTGGACTTAAAGCCATGAGTTCAAATAAACATAGCCCCCTTTGAGTTGCACATGGTATGTCTCAGGAACGGGAAAACGGCATCCCCAAAGTGTTCATTTCTTTTGTCTTAACCATTTTGTATATAAGAACTACTCAAACACCTGCTTGAAGTTAGTCTTATCCCATTGTCTTTAATTTTTAGTATTTTTCCATCAGTACTGCAATGTTATTTTATGGTTTTTTGTTTGTTTCACATGTGTTTATCTTGACAAATTTTTAAGTACCTTTAAAGCAGTTTATCTTGTCGTTTGTCTCCCCTATACATATACATATCAGTACAACACTAGGCTGATGAGGTGGTTTATTTATTTGTTTATTTTACTTAAAAAAATTTTTTTTGAGACAGGGTCTTGCTGTGTATGTGTAGTTCAGACTGGCCTTGAATTATGTAGGCTAACCTGGCCTCGAACTCACAGCGATCCTCCTGCCTCAGCCTCCCCAGTGCTGGCATTACAGGAGTGCACCACCACACTCAGGGTGTTTTTTTTTGTATAAGAAGTAGTAAAATGTATTTGTTATTGAGGAGAGTAGTTGATGGCATCTGCTTCATGTAAAGCTCTGTAGTTTACCTCTCACCTCTGGTTTGACATGTATTATTTTTACACTCTTGACTGACTTTATTCTCATTTTAAGAAATAAATGATGATAGTATTATTAATGGTGGAAGTCTGAATAATGACAATTAATAAATAGATGTTAGAATTCCATTTCTGTTTTCCTTGATTGGGGGAGAGCTGAAATAAGTTGTTAATGCAACTTAGAATTGTTGACATCATTTTCAGCAATTATTGAATTCATGCAATGGCAGATAGAATTTTTAAAAACAAAACCTTAAAAATAACTTCAGTAAGTTTTGCTTTGTGCCTCTATTGGATACCACTTACATATTAAATTTCTGGTCTTAATATGATGTTCGTTTTATGTAATCTTCACAAGAACACCGAATTATAGAAATTATTATATTCATCTTTCAAATGAGCAGTTGTCTTCAACAGAGTTAATAATTAAGATACAACTAAAGAGTGCCAATGCCGGGATTTCAAATTTTGTCTCAACAGTAGAAGTAATAGATTACATATTGTGAAATCATTTGTAGTTTTTTTTTTTAAATTTTCGCATACTGGCTTTTATTTTTATTTGGGTATTTTCCCCTTCCAGAATCCGCCAAACCCACCTGTATCACCAGGAAAATCTGCAAGTGATACCATCAGCAATAATAATATGGCCTATAGGTAAGAGTTATAATCAGCTTTTCTGGTTTTTAAATAATAGTAAGGGTCTGATTTTCTTTATTTAGTAGAAAACTCTTGTAATCATACATATTTATATATAGATAACTGTTACACTGGTTTGAGAATATTTCCTTTTTCTGCTTTGTTGCATTGTTTATCTGTAGTTATTACTTCTGGTGATTTATCATAAGACTTTGGTTACTGCGTTGTTCTTTAACCTCACATCATGAGTAGTATTCTCAAATAATTGAGAAATGCTGTTGTAAGAAAGACTACTGTCTGTGTATGATTAGAACTTTCATTTGGTCTTCAGGTTAAGTATTAATAATATTAGAATATAATATTAGAATATAAAAGACTGTTCCCTAATGCCACAGGCCCCAGCGCTTAGAAGTTTGCATGTGGTCTGTGCCTTGTTGTGTTTGCTTGTGGTTTAGGGTTGTGAAACCCAAATCTAGCCACTGCTTTTCAGCTATAGGCCAGTGTTTTTTCTCTATGTCGGTAGTTGTTCCCTAGAATACATGTCAATTGATTATTTGATTTTTATTTCATAGAAATGCAAGCACAGTAAGACAGATGTTGGAGTCTAAAAGAAATGTAGGTGAGAATGCACCACCGTCTTTTCAAACTCCTGTGAATACAGGTAACATTTTTAACAAAATTTTTTTTCTTATTTATTAAAGGCTTTGGTTCTTTTACATTCTTTTGAGTTTGAAATGGACTAGAAAAGTGAGCACATTGCTGTAAGTACAAAATATTACTAAAGTTTTCAGATCACAAGTATACATTAAAATATAGATATTAAAATTTCTGACTATTTCTCTCTCAGATTTTCTTGTTTCCAGATCCTTTTACAGTCTTAAAACTTAAGAACCCCAGGGTGCTTTTTTAAAAATGAGTTATTACAATTCATACTATTAATTTAAGTTAAAAAATTTTATTCATTGAAGATTGATAATAAATCTGTAAGGTATGACACAGACAACATTATTTTGTGAAAAATAGCTTTATTTTTCAAGATTAAAAATACCAGTGAAATACTGGCTTTCAATTTTATAAATCTCTGTTTTGCTTAAGATGTTAGAACACTTAAAGATAGTTATAGGCCTATATCTATATCTACTTTCAGTCTCTTGCTTTTGAGGGGAGGCAGAGGAGACACAGGATCATGCATATAGTTCAGGCCGGCCTCATTTTCATGATTCCCCTGCCTCAGCCTCCCAAGTGCTAGGATTACAGTTGTAACACCAAAGTTTGTTTCATTGTATTAATTTGGCTGAAGTATATGAACAAAAGCCATCCACATACAAGGATGTAGATGGAAGATGGCGAACCTTTTTAGGTAACTGGATATTTGGGATTTTTTTTTTAGACAGAGTCTCCCCATATGGTTCAGGCTTGGTGTTAAACTCATTGTGTAGCCCAGGCTGGCTTCGAACTCTTGCCTTTCAAATCCTGGTATTACAGGCAGGCAGCACCATGCCTCGCCTGGACATTCTTCTTTGATACTGCCAAGTAGTTTAAAATTAGTGCAAAGTGGAATCTGAAACCACACTAATGAACTTTTCTCATTGAATTTTCTAGGTCATTCTTTTAAGTAAAAATGGTTGTCCATGAAAAAGGCTGCTGATTTAGCTTTTCCTTGATTCAGTTATCCTGTTTCGGCTTGCAGCTGTATTTTGTTTTATATCACCTGTTTTTTTTTATAGTGCTTATTTCTTTACACAGTAGAGTAAAATATCTACTGAAGTATTGTGATACAGTAAAATTAACAGTTTTTACTGCTTCATTATCAATATTTTTAACTGAAACCGACTTTTGTTTTTAACTAAAAGCATAGGGTGTTGAAGATTGTGGTGACAGTATAGTACCACTCCACTACCTTGATTTTTGTACACTTTTTCTTCATGGTTTCATTTTTCAGAATTTCATTTACTTGTGGTATTAAAATATTAAATGGAAATTTTCAGGAATAATTCATAACTTTTATTATAGTATATTGTTAAAATTGTTCTACGTATTTTTTTTTAAGATTGCAAAATGACTATTTTATTTTTTTCTCATTGAATTTATTGGTACATTTTAGGTATACAGTATAGTTCCGTTCATCATTGGGATCTTGTACCTTTATATGACAGGTCTTTGTTCTCATTTTTTCCCCTTGTCCCTGCCCTCCCTTCACTCCCTCCTCCCTTCCCTATTGTTCTACATATTATTATTACTGTTAGTCTTTTACTGTGCCTAGTTTATAAATTAAACTATATCATAGGTGTATTTGTATAGTCATGTGCTGCATAGTATCATTTCAGTCAAGGATGAACTACATAGAAGACAGTTGTTTTGTAAGATTGTAATGGAGCTGAAAATTCTTATCACTTGGTAAAGTTGTAGCCCTTGTAACTAACATACCTCAACACATTACTCATGAGTTTTATGTTGATATTGATGTAAACAAATCTACAACACTTTCAGTTTTTTAAAGTATAGCACACAGAATTATATACATAATACTTAATAAGTGTTAACTAATTTATGTGTTTATATAATTTTCGTTGCAATTTAAAATGTATTCCTTATTTTAAAAGTTTTCTATAAAATAGTTTGCTGTGTTATGCCAGCAATAGCCTCATAAATCCCATATCTAAGAGACCACATTGAATAATTTTACTTACACCATTCAGGTTTATGTAAGTGCACTCTTGTGATTGCACCACAATGAAATTGCTTACCTACATATTTCTTAGTGCATCCTTGTTAAGCAACACCTGGGGGGATAAGTGTTTGTAGAGTTCACTACTGTTTGTGGGCCTTGACATCCACTGAGAATCTTGGAAAGTATCTCCTATTATTTAAGGAGGACTACTGAAGTAGGGCATCAGCAGTTCTCCTCACTGTTATTTTTGCTTTGTCATTACAAATGTCCCTAAAATGAAAATAATTTTGACATTGCAAACTCTCTATAAGAGTCTCAGTAAACCACAGGTTTGCTTGCCTGGATCACACTCTGGACTAGTGTATCTGTGATTTTGGAAAGAATATAAACAAATGAAGAACAAATTTAGTTATATATGTCAAACCCATTTCAATGAGAATAAGCACAATGAGTAGAATCAAAATTACTATAAATCTCTTACAAATAGCACTTTTCTTTTCTTTTCTTTTTGGTGTATGGTCTCTCATTTTTTAATCCACCCTATTCTTCACTCATTATTATTTTCTATATCATCTAATGTCAAAAGCATGTCAGTAGAGGTATCCCCGACTAATTAGTTCCTTTTGTACAAAACTCAGTAGAACTCAATCCACATGCACAGATTTCACATGATCCCAGTGATAAACTGTGATGTGTCAGTTTATCTGCAACTCATGAATGGCCAAGACTATAGAGTTCCTATTTATGTTTATATATTGTTCCTGTTACAGGCCACTGTAATATTTTTAATGTTTCAAAAATATTTGTTCATTTTTATATGGTTGGACTTTAATGCTGTTTGTTATTCCAGTTAGTTATTCTGAAGTGATTGTAGTAATTTTCAAAGTACTGGTATAGTAGTTCTCCATGTTACCTTTAAATCATGTGCCATTTTCATAATATACAGATGTACAGATAAAAATGTAATTGTAAGAATTCCCAGAATATAAATCTAGGAAAATTCTCCTTATGTTACTGTATATAACAATGAATTTGCATGTGTAATGACACATAAGGCATAACTTATAAGGCATAACTTATGGTTGCTATCTAAGACTTGCTTTTTTCTTCCTTACAGTATCTTCAGCCAATCTTGTTACTCCTCCAGCAGTTGTCACTAGTCAACCTAAACTGCAGAATCCAGCAACCTCGGGCTCTCAGACAGCAACACCAGTTCTTCCTGCACCCAATACAGCTACAGTAGTTGCAACTACTCAGGTGCCTACTGGAAATCCTCCACCTACAATTTCTTTACAACCTTTGCCAGTGATTTTGCATGTTCCTGTTGCAGTATCCTCCCAGCCTCAGCTTCTACAGAGCCATCCAGGGACTTTAGTAACCAATCAACCATCTGGCAATGTTGAATTTATTTCTGTGCAAAGCACACCTACAGTGAGTGGTCTTACCAAAAATCCAGTATCTTTGCCATCCTTGCCAAATCCCTCTAAACCAAACAATGTTCCTTCTGTGCCCAGTCCTAATATTCAAAGGAACTCGCCTGCCAGTGCTGCACCATTAGGAACAACACTTGCTGTACAAGCAGTCCCAACAGCACACTCTATTGTGCAAGCCACAAGGACTTCTTTACCTGCAGTTGGCCCATCAGGACTCTATAATCCATCAAATAATCGAGGTCCTATACAGATGAAAATTCCAATTTCTGCTTTTAGTACTTCATCTTCTGCAGAACAAAACAGCACTACCACTCCAAGAATTGGTAAGTCATTATATTGGTTTAGTAATAGAAGTGCAAGCATGTTATTGACTTTTAGGTGATTCAGCTTTTTTTTTTTTTTTTTAAATGGCTAGTATTATTGAAAGATTAGCGTAAATAGGATTTCCTTGAGATTATTTTTAGTGATTTTCTAGATACCTAAGAGAATGTTTTTAAATTAAAGTTTGAGAGAGGTGTTTTTTTTTATTGAAATATATTTGCACAACTTTTATGGGATGCATTATGATAATCTGATACATGTATGCAATGTGTCATAACAAAATCAGGTTAATAAACCCTTTCATCTCTTCAAAGGTTATTTTTTTTTTAATTTAATTTTTTTTGTACTGGTATTTCAACCCAGGGCCTAATACTGAGCTACATCCCCGGTCCATTACTTTTAAGAGACAAGATCTGACTAAGACGCCCAGGATAAGCACAAGCTTCTGGTCCTCCTGCCTTAACCTCTGAGTGTTGGGATTATAGGCACATGCCATCACACATAGCTTAATGGTTAATTATATTTATGAGTTGGGCATTTCATGCTCTTCTAGTCATATTGAAATATGTCATAGATTGTTTTAACCAGTAGTTACTCTTCTGTGCTATAGAAAATCAAAATTTCTTCTATCTTAACTGTGTTTGGTATCCCTTACTGGATTGTCTTGAATGTCCTTCCTTCTGTCTGAAAGGAGGATTATTATGAGGAGAAAGTTGCATTTTATTTTATCTTTTAGTTCTTTTCCTAATTTTGGTCAGTTTTTAATTTACTTTATAGCAGTACTATGAATTTTATTATATACTTGCTAGGGATGTCTAAATAGAATAAGTACATTTTAAGTCTCTAATTGGAATAGTATGTGCTTGCAAGAGAACAATAAAAAACATGTATCTTTCCTACCCATTGAGAGAAGTCTGTTGTACATTGCTCGTGTCTTCTAAATTTGAACAATTTAAAAATAGGTTCTTCCATCTCTGATTTACTACAAAATACCTGATTTCTTCTTGTTCTCTATTTCCCCCCATGGGATATATGACTGTTTGTATTTTACTTAGAAATAATGAAAAAAAGAGAACTTGGAAAAAAAAAAAGATTTAAAAAAATTGGGCCAGGGATTTAGCTCAGTGGTTCTGCCTCCTGCCTCACAAGGACAAGGTTCCAAGTTCGATTCCCATACCAAAAATAACTTGATTGTACCTGTATTTAAAAATGCAGAAGCTATGTCTTTCTTTTCCTAGAAAGTGCACATTTTGTATGCATTCTTGAACTTACTATTTTTTTTTTTCATTTCTGATTTCACATTTATTCTTGCTAACTTTAGAAGCCAAATAATAATGGGGCAATATCATGTATATAATGAAATTTTTGCAATCGTTTTCGTAATTGATGTAGTAAGTAGCCATTACATACAAAGCATTTTAATATACAAAATTAAAGTTACCTTTTTTTCCCTTCTTTTTCTGCACAGCTGGGAATAGAACTCAGTCCTCATGCTAGACAATAAAATTATTTTTTAAGTAGACACAACACTCCTTATTTTTTATTTGTCATGTAGTAATTAGTGTGCTTATTCTGTGTTCTCTTATATAAAAGTGATGGCGTTTCACAGAATTGTCAAGAAACTGAATGGTGGATCAAATCTAATACTGAGCTAAAGTTGAATATCACCCTCATACAGTGAACATCTGGGATAAGAATAAACTTGACATTCTGTATGAAAATGAAACTACATTAATTTAATAAACTTCAATTTAAATGTTTGTATAGTACAATAACAGTGTTAGCATTAGGTGATTTCACATTATTTCTTAGTCACTGTTTCATGTTTGCAATACAAAAGAGGATTCCTACTTTTTTTTTTTTAATTTTATTGAGTTTATTGGTACATTTTAGGGATACAGTACAGTTACATTCATTGTTGGGATCTTGTACCTCCACATGACAAGTCTTGATTCTCATTTTTTCCTCTTACCTCTGCCCTCCCTTCACCCCCTCCTCCCCTCCCCATCTACAAACACTTTATTTTCATCTTTTCATTCTCTCACATTTTTTTCTTTTCCCTTTTTGTTCTTCCCCTACCCATCCCACCTTCCCTACACCTTTAGCTTCTTTCTTCCCATTTCTAAATGTCAGTAATCTTATTAGAATCTTATGCATTGTTGCAGATTATTCACACCAGGGAAACTATTTGGTATTTACACATGTGTGACTTATTTATTTCACTTAGGAGTATATCTTCAATATGTATCCATTTTCCTATGAATGAATCTATTTTAAGAGGATTCCTACTTTTAACAGATCAGTGCACAAGATTTTGGGGAGGAGATTCTTCCATTTTTCTCCAGTTTCTTTTTCTTGTAATTTTAGTGTTTTTTGGTCAAATGATTTATGATGGGCATTGTTTTAATTTGATTTTATAATTTGTCCTCTTTGTGAAGTTTTGAAGTGAAGTTCACAATGTTTTAAATTCCTGGTCTCCTGATAAGATATATTCCAAAGTATAGTATTTTCCTACAATACCAGTCCCTAAAAAGAAAGTTTAATATTATGAATGCCTGTCCTCTGATGACTTCTACAAATACCAGATTTATAATTTCATCTTTTTGTTCTCTGAAAATTTTTATGTTTTTTTATTTTTTGAGACAGGGTCTCACTATGTAGTTGAGACTGATCTGGAACTCACTATGTAGACGAGGCTGGTCTTGAACTCACAGTGATCCTCCTGCCTCAGCCTCCTGAATGCTGGGATTACAGGCGTGCGACACCATGCCTGATTCTCTAAAAATTTTTATGAACATTTGACAGGACAAAAAGAGTATATTCCAAAATTACCTAGTTGTTTCACTCCTTTAGCAGTAATGCGTCATTCTTTTTCAAATTTATTTACAGTGTATGATTAATAGCTTCCATAATTATTAATCTCAGTGTAACATTCTACTTTTGAGATAATTTTTATATTTTAGCATGTGTACTTAACACATTCATATTTACATTAGATATATAGATTTTCAAGTTTTATTTAATTTATAGCTAAAATGAATTATTATATAATAAGATTAAATGACAATTTTGTATGTTTTCATAATGTTAGACTGAATTAGAAGAATATATAGACTGAATGTGCATAATTTCATGGGTGCCATAAATTACATTAAAATATATATTTGGTTGTTTAATCTTCTAAAAGCCTTTGTTAACATCCAGTGGCAAATTTCTGCTGAATGTGAAAGTTGAAGCTAAACTCCGTATTCCTGTTGTGAAGTTATATAATTAAAGGTTATATAATTAAATTTTTCCAATCCTGTGCTTCCAGAGGTTTTCTTTATTTATATAGTATATAACTAAACTACATATATTTCTATATATTTTATTACAGTTCACTATATTAGGTAATCTAAGTCAAAATTTTCTGTTTATTGTGAAGTCAGTGTCCTCCTGGAAGCTGTTTTGGAAATTTAGGGCTCAGATTATAGTTATTTTTTTCATTCATGAGATATTGAGTTGTCTGTGTTGTTCTAAGGTCCTTTGGATACACAGAAATGAATAGAGTAGTCCCTGTGCTTATCAAGCTTGCAATCAGATAGGGAACTTGTACATTGAATAAGTATTGTAAATGTGATGAGTATTAAGAAATGCTGTATTCTTTGAGAAGATATGAGAGGACATGGGATGTCTGGGAAGGTATATAAAAATGAACAAAAAGTGGGGAAAAGGAAGTTAATAGTTTTTTGAGGAGAAGGAGTATGACACTTATGAATACTGGCTGCAATGTAGAAAATGGTTTGAAGGAGATAAAAATAGAGAGAAACTTAGATGCTTGCAGTGAACTAGATGAGAAGTGATGGTGTAAAAATGTAAGTTATTCAGGAGATAGAATTGGCAGTGTTTGCTAATTTATTGACAAAAGTTTAACTCATGAGAGAAATGTTAAATTCAGATAACTTAGGTTTCTTAAGACTTTGCTAAGTAGACTTCAATGGAAATGTAGACTTCAAGGAAATGCTGATTTGGGGGAGAGTTATATAGAATTGATTTAGAACTCAGATCTCATCAAACAACTCTTGTTTCAAGAGTACAAGAAAATGAATTTAAACAAAACTTCTTCAGCTTTTATTTGCTTTGAGTTTGTTCAGTGACAGAGTTGAATGAAGATTTTGCCTTCCATTTCTATTCATACAGCAGTTATCCCAGACCTACTGAGGGAATACTACAGATTTATACTCCTGTAAAATATTGTTATGACTATGGTAAAAATGTGGAATTGGTTAAGAGTGACCTGTGTTACATGAAATGATCTTTGAAGGATAAGATAGAAATATGGCCCAAATTACAGGCGGATTTGGAGTTAAATTTGATTTTATGTCCTGGCCAATTTTGTTGATAGATTGATAAATTGATTTATAAATTTTTACTTTTAGAAATCATATGAAATAGATGGTAAACTTGAAGAAAAGGAAAAATATGTATTGAAACTGTAAAATGTTACATTAAATCAAAGAAAAAGTTCTGTAATAGAGGGCATAGTAATTGAAAATCTAAAATAAATATTACCACAGTTCTCTGAGTAATTAACTCATTGCCCTGAGACTAGTCAGAATCATGTTGGATAGCAGAACAATTGGTTTTGGAAAATGTTTATGTGTGACATATTATTAAGCAGTCTGAATCTTGAGGAATTTTTGTATGAGAATATTACAACAGAAAATAAAAATGAAACCCTCACTACTTTTCATGTAAAGTTACCTTTTGATTTTGTTTGAAAATCACAGTGAGTTTCAAATCTAAATGAATATTTTTTAACATTGCATATAAAAAAATTTGATATTTTGGTAATATTATCACCACATTTTAGAGATAACACTCCAGTATGTAAGATCACTAACTTAGAATTAGCTTTGTTAAATAGTCTTGAGGAACTTCAAAGTCCAAAACACATGCTCATTCATATTATGTGATATAATTTTAAGATATTTCAATATATTCTTTCTACAGAAAGAATTTAAATAATTCTGAAAATTGTTAAGGGTTTTCTGTTTACCTTTCCTTAGACTACCTCCTTTTAATAGGTGGATACTTACCCTACTTGAGTTTTAAAATGTCAAATTATATATGTAGTATGGAAAGACCTATCTTTGTTTAAACAAACATGATTTCTTCTGTGTGTGTTCCAAACATTTACAAATAAATGGAATGATGTATTTTAAACAAGAAAATTTTGTCTCAGAAAGAAAAGATGGAATGTTTAAGCTAAACACTTGATAATGTATCTAGCTGTACTACAAAAGAGGAAAAGGCATATTTGATAAAATTTAATACCTTTTTTCCCACACTCCTTTAAAAATTAGGACAGAATCATACATGATTTGTTTTTTCATGCTGTTCTGGAATAACAATTTTTTACAAATTTTATTTAAATTTAACTTATCGGTACATTCTAGGTAGACAGTACACTTACATTCATTACTGGGATCTTGTACCTTTATGTGACAGGTCTTGGTTCTCATTTTTTCCCCTTGTCCCCGCCCTCCCTTCACCCCCTATTTTCCCTTATTCCCCTTTCCCTATCCTTCTCTCTGTCCCTACACCTTTGGTCCTTTTCTTCCTATTGGAATAACAATTTTTTTAACCACAACTTATACAAATTAATTAAAAATGAATGAAGAAATAAAATAATTTGTAATTGAACTGCTAAAAAATACTGTAGTATGGAAGGAAGAATTATATTTTGTTTAGCTGTTTTCTTGATGTTAGAGGACTAAAGTTAAGTATGTTTTAAATTATTTTCCTAAGTATTCCTTGAGATAGAATTTAAATTTCTTGAGTCAGTGAGTAGATGAAGTTTTTCTTCTGTATTATAAATTTTCTAGCAGCGATCTATGCCATTTACATATGTTAAAATAGTTGGAATAAATTACCCGAATTATTGTATGTACAGCAGCCTAACCTTTTACATAATGTAGATGGTTTTTAAAAATGTCTTTTTTTTTTTCCTTCTCAGAAAACCAGCCAAACAAACCAATGGATGCTTCTGTTAATAAGAAAGCAACTGATAGTACAGCACAGGTAATGATTTTCCCTTCTACTTCAAAGTAAAGTTCTTATTATAGCCCAAAGAACAACAGACTTTCATCAGTAGTCTCTGATACAATGAAAATTAATTGTTCTTTTACAACTGTCCATTTTCTCACAGCTTCTCTTTAATGCTTCACAAGAATTGAGTTTCTTTGCCTATCATTTTGCTGAGATAATATTAGTTGATTATATTACTAACTGGTTGGATCATATAATTGACAGTTCATTTGCCTTCATGTACTGTAAAGATTCACTGTACATCACATAAATTTTCTCCAAGCCCTTCTTTTTGAGAGTATCTCTGTGGCCTACCCCCATGCCGTTCCACTCTTCCTTGCCCATCGCCAACCCCCATCATCATGTTAGTTTTCTCAAAGGTAAACTTTTGGGGAAAGAAGTTTTTTTCTCTCTGATAGTTTATTATTAGCACTTAACCAGTCTTGGTATTTTTCATTAAATCTTAACTTCCCAGTAATAGAGTAACTGCTTTTTTCTTGATAGTATTCTTCCCAATTTTTCTATATTGCTTTAGATATAGTAGATTTGTAGCAAGGTCATTAATATTTATTTTCTTTCTTTTTAATTGTTTCAAGAAACTCAGGTATTATATCTAGTAGTTTGAATTTTGCAAATTAAAACCCTAATTATTTGGAGTCGATTCAGAATATGTCAGTATAAATGATGAGTATCATTTATTAAGTGGTTAGCATGTGTCCTGTGTAGTGCTAAGCATTTTATATACATGTATGGGTTAATCCTCACAATAGCTTCAACATCCATATCTTAGAAATGGAGGAAGTTACTTTTTAACACAAAGGCACAAAATTTAGTTTTTTTTTACTTCAGAGTCCTACTTCAGTAGATGTCCTTCTTTTGTCACTATTCTATGGTTTTTAAAGTGTATTTTCAGAGTTGGGGGGGTTCTTGGTTGATTTGGAACAGAGGTTGACTGGTTAAAGTTGATATTGATTTATGGTATATCATGCCATACTATATCTCTTCTTTTTTAGGGAATAAAGTAAAACAGATATTTTGTAACCTAATTCTGTCTTGAAAGAGATTGCCTTTGAGGTTTTGATGAATTACTAATTGATAGTTTAGAAATAACGTTTCAAGTGCCAGGAAATGAATGATGCTTGTATTCAGTCTCACAACACTTAAAACATCTAATCACTTCAGTAGTTCTATTAAAGTTATATGAATTTTTTTAAAAGTCTGGAATTTCTTTTCAAAATATTTGAAAGTTGTCTTTTTATGGCAGGAATTTAACTCATGTCTTAGGGCATTTCCTCGACATACTGTTTTATCACATAAATCCATTTAGGGATTCACAGTGAACCAAGGTGTTCATTATTTGTCTTTCTCTTCCCTGTTAACACATTTTTCCTTTATACCTGCCAAGTTCCTTTGCATAACGCAGCTGTTTTATTTTTCAGAGTGGAAAAGCCACTGGTAGTGATTCAGGTGGTGTCATTGATCTCACAATGGATGATGAAGAAAGTGGATCTTCACAAGGTACTTGAATAGTAATGATATTAAGGAATGCTTTGCTGTCATTTTTTCTTCTTAATGTACTACAATCTTCTGTGAAGACAGATTTCTAGAGCATTACGTTTGGTGTATTTTTATCTTGTTTAAAATGAGTTTCTAAAATTAGAATTAAAAAGTAGAAATCAATTCTTGAAAGAATATGAGCAAGGTATAGAGGAAAATAACAGGAGAATATTTAGTTGATGGAGCACTTTCTATTTTAGTGTATGTTATTTTACTTGATCCTTGCAATAAATTTGTCATACTCTTTTTAGAGTTGAAGGAACTTACTGTATTTAGAGAGGATGTGTAAGAATCATAAGGGTCGTAGTAATCAAATCTAGGTCTTCTGACTCAACATTAAAAGTTCTTTCTTTTAATATGGGTGTGTGTGTGCACCTTCTGTAGATACTTCTAAGTATGTAAATATCTAATTTTGGTTCTTTGAGTTAATTTCTTTAGCATTTTGTAAATAAATATGAAAACACACTGAAAATTCTCAGTGTCCTGAGGTATAGTATTTAGAAAGTTATTGGATAAATATTAAACTATATTCCATTCTTCTCTATTGTTAATAGATATTCTATTAAAAGTTCCATAGTTAAATATTCTTGAGAAATACTGAGCTAAAATCTAATGGGTTTTTTTTTCTTAGACTTCTCTAAACCTTTATTATGCTATAGCATTTATAGTATAAAGTCTATAGTTATGTTCAGAATATAAAACATGTCACAGAATTACTTGACTTTACAAACTGTTACGTATGTATCTATAAAACTCTAGTAGTAGTGATGCATTCAAAAAACCTAGTAAGGTCAGATGGTTAAGTAAGTTGATAACCCTTGAACTTTTAAGAACTAAAGATGGTAGAAGTAGTCATATTTTAGTTTGTTTTAGAAAGTTAATAGCTTTATAATTGATTATGTAATAATAAGATATTTTTGTTTCATTTTGTTTTTTCTGGGATACAAAATACAGTTGGGAAATTTATGTCATACATCAGTATTGAACTCACACCAATATGATTATTCTCTTAAGAGTTTTACATTATCTGTATTGCTTTCACTATTTTCTTATGGGCATATTTCACTATAATGAATCCCTAGGGAAGAAAATTAATTTAGGTTATTTTTGAGAGGACATAGGCAGAGCTGATTCTGGATTAAAATGTAAAGTAAGCAAGCTTATTTGCCTTGCTGTGGCTGTTTCACTTTCTGTCATCCAGGTCTTCTGGGTGCTTTTTGCATTGTCCCATCTTTGGGTTTCTCTCTAAATTCTTCCATTTTAAAGTACATTGTTCTTCTCTGACACCAAAAGTATCAGGTTCTAAAGTTTTAACTTTTATTTACATTTTAGTGTTGAATTCCATAGGACAGAAGTCTATGAGCATCATTATAGATGGAAAGTCTTTGGGCTCATATCATTTATTGTGTTATAGTGGTTTAAGGGATTTGTCTGAGGTTCAAACATTTATTGCACAGGCTTTTTTTTTTTGGTATTGGGGATCGAACTTGGGACCTTGCGCTTGCCAGGCAGAGGGTGGAACCACTGAGCCAAATCCCCGGCCCTATTACATAGGCTCTTGAAGACCTTTTTATTAGACTAGACATTGTATGTATATTTTAAGGATGAGATAATAATGATAAAGTAGCCATTTGTATTAGCAAACAAACACAACACTGAATAGTTGAAATACAAAATCTCAGTGAAAACATCAATTTATAGTACTTGGTTAGGAGGATGTGTGATACAAGTATGTAGATAACAAACTAGTTTAGTTGACATGATAGTATAGTGATCCAGAAATAATTTCTTTAATTTAAAAAAAAAAGGTGAATTCCTGTAAATGTGAATGACAATCTTTTAGAAGAAACAGTGAAAATATTTAAATAGCTTCTGGCTTGGTTTTCAAATCAGCAAAAATACATCTCTAATGAAATCAGAAAGAAATTATTCAAATAGCCATAGTTAAATGTGGTGCCTAAGTGGCAGGTAAAAATAAAATTCATCCATAAAGGAAAGACCTGTGTTTTGTTAAGTGTTCTGTATCATTAATCATAATATCTTACTTTTAATTACCAGACTCCAAAAAAGTCAGTCACACTCCTGTATCAACCATGGGTTCTTCTCAGCCCATGTCTCGACCATTGCAACCCATACAACCAGCACCACCTCTTCAGCCATCTGGGGTGCCAACAAGTGGACCATCTCAAACTACCATACACTTACTACCTACAGGTAAATTTTTAAAATCATTGACTATGCTCTAGTTTTGCCTGCAGAGAATTGTGACTGAGGAATTGAGTGGAAAGATAAGACAGAAAATTAAGAATAATTCTCATTATTACTTTGAAGAAGGTGTTTGTCTTTTTGAATGCAATATAACCTAGTGGTAAGTAGTAGCACTGTAGAGAATTATTACAAAGAAGGCTTAACCTCTGTGTCTTTGTCATCTGCCGCCGTGAAGAGCAGAAATGATGGAGTTTCTCTGGAAGGGCTGGTTAAAATGATGTGTTCTTGGTTGTACAAACCAAGACATTATAATTGATCAAACAAGAAAAATTATTAACAAGAAAATGGTGATTCCTCACACTGTTGTTGGGCCTGGTAGCACTCATCTGTACTCCTGTCTATTTGGAAGGCGAAGTTCAGAGGATCACTTGAGCATGGGAGTTTGAGAACAGCCTGGGCAACAGAGCAAGACCCCATCTTAAACCAAAAAAGTCACATTCTTCTTTTTGAGACAGGTCTTGGTATGTAGTTCAGGCTGGCCTTGAATTCACTATGTAGCCCAGGCTGTCCTCAAACTCAAATAAATCCTTTTTCTGCCTCAGCCTTCCAAAGTGCTGGAATTACAGGCATGTGTTGTTACACCCAGTAAAAAATTACATTATTGTAGCTCCATTGTAAATAAATGTTTAGGACTCATTTTAAAAAATAAATATGTTAACATCACTTGAAGTATGCTCTCTGGAATATAGATGCAAAGAATGCTGGAATAGGGGAGACAGACAAAAATGTGAATTATATTAGGGAACCAGAGACACAGTTGGTTTGGGGGTGGGGTGCAAAAATGTTAATTAAAATAGCCAGCCAGTTTCATGGCCTGTGGGCATAACAGTATATTTTAAGTATATACTTCCTTGAGAGGAGACCTGAAGGGCCAATAATTCCACTCTACTAAGAACAATGTAAAATTGAAGAGGGAAAAATTGTTCTTTTAAGTCACTCCTATAGCAGTCATATCCTTAAATGTAGGTCCTTTTTAAAAAAATGTTCACATGATTGTCATCTAGTCAAACTGAAGAGTGAGAAGGGAATAAGGATTGAGGTACTCTTCTGAAGCTTGGAGTTTAATACTGTTAATTTTGGTTGACTTTGACATTCTTCCCTGCAGAATTACAAAGGAGGCTCATCTCTCTTTCCCTGTTTTCATTTATTTATTTATTTATTTATTTAGGTACCGGGGATTGAACTAGGGTCCTTGCGCTTGCAAGGCAGGCCACCCAACCGCTGAGCTAAATCCCCGGCCCTCTTTCCCTGTTTTAGTTAATTAGATTTTGTATAAGGATAAGTACCATCTAATACTCTTCACTTAGTATAGAATCTTCATTCTTAATACATTTTCTGCTTTGCACTAGCTCCAACCACCGTGAATGTAACACATCGTCCAGTAACTCAGGTGACCACCAGACTCCCTGTACCAAGAGCTCCTGCAAACCATCAGGTGGTTTATACAACTCTCCCAGCACCACCAGCTCAGGCCCCACTGCGAGGAACTGTTATGCAGGCTCCTGCTGTTCGTCAGGTCAATCCTCAAAATAGTAAGAGACCCTTTTCTTATCTAAGGTTCTGAGGTATATGTAATCTCTTCAGCATTTAGTTGAACTAACTTATATTAGTATTAGATTTTGCAAAAAGTTCTTGTAATATATTAAGACTTATTTTTGATACCAGGCATTGAACTCAGGACCTTGAGCTTGTGAGGCAGGCACAGCACCACTGAGCTAAAAGTTTAATCTGTTATACAACATAGTTTTATAGCATAGTTAATAACAGTGAATTGTGTACTTGAGAGTTGGTGATACATATATTAATTAACTTGATTTAGCCATTCCACAATTACATGTATTTCAGAACATAATTTTATACATCTTAAATGTAGTTTTCTCAATTACAGTTTTTAAAATGACCCCCAACATCCTATTACTGATTCACCTTTTTCCCCTTAAGAGAGTTAGAGAAAATTGGACATATGTGCCATATGTTTAACTTTGTTTATGAACTATGCTATCATAGTACTTATTTGATGTTGGTCTGTAATCTGTTGAGACACCCTGTCTAATTAAAGTGGGAATAATCAGTTGTGGCTTAGCCCATATGATAGAAATCATGGTAAAGGATAGCTTCCAGCAGAAGGAAGTCTTAGAAGATACAAAAGTTGGAAATGAAATGACAATGTTAGAGGAAACTTGTAGTTTCCTATATATATTATATATTAGTTGTATGTATGTATATATACATGTATATGAGTAACATGTCATATAAATGTTGTAATATATGGTGTACTATATATACATTAGTAAAATATATACTATATATAATAAAATAAGCACAAGTTTCTGTAAAAGCTGTAGAGTTTAAAGAGAAATAATAAAATGAACCACCCATGAATTCTCAATACTAATGTAACCACTTCTACCATTCTTTTCTGTTGGTCATTCTTTTCTTCACAGTTTTATCAGTTTTATCACCAGTATGCATGTAGCTAAAACAAAAAGTGTACACACACTCACACACACACACACATGATTTAATTTTGAAAAATTTCATAGTGAGGACAAATTTAGCTATGTAAAGAAACTGCAATAATATTATTAGATGACATCTTCAGGAGAAATTAAACTATGTCTCTGGATCATAATTTGGCTTAAGAAAACAGGTTGATAATGATTATGAATGAGTTCTGGAAAACTAGTTTCACCACAATCCAAGGCATCTGGAAGAACTGTAGTTTGAGCCAGATGCTGAATATATGCTTGAAACATTAGATCACTCTAAATTTTCTACTTCTGTCATCTGGGGTATTTTATAACACTTTTCTGTGGTGTGAAATGAGTATCTTTAGCTGGCCTATGGGGCATGGAGAGAAAAAGTCATTAATATAAGACAACGACAACTTTTTGAGCTTTCTATCTTGATTTAAAATGTGAACCAGGAGGGATCTTTATAAAGACAGCTTCCATGTGATGTCTTTTGAGTCACCCTGTTCCTTCTGGCCTGTTTGCCTTCTACATGTATTGCACAAGTGTTGTAGGACTTCTGTTTGTATTCCTCCTACTAGGGATATTAATTTTTTCTGTGTTTGATCTCTGTTCTTGTATTTCATGTTTTCCCTCTTTCTTCATTTTTTTCTTTTACATCAGTGGCACACATTTTCCAGTGGTTACCTTAGAAAGGATTCATGTAGTGTTTTGAGATTTTTTTAAAGTATATTTTTTAAAACACACACACAAACTTGTGCACGTACACACACTAGATTTCTTTATCCCACACTTAATGATAATTTGGCTGAGTGTAGACATCTAGAAATATTTTTCCTTTTGAATTTTAAAAACATTGCTTCATTGGCATCAAGTGTTTAGTCAGTAAGACTAAATTTCCACCAAATTTACAGTAGAATTCTGATGTTTATTCCTTAATTTTCCTTTTAGGTGTTACTGTTCGAGTGCCTCAAACAACCACATATGTTGTAAACAATGGACTAACCCTGGGATCAGCAGGACCTCAGCTCACAGTGCATCACCGACCACCACAAGTGCATACTGTAAATGTTGGTGCTTCACTTTACTAAATTCTCGACTACAAAACGGTCAAACAGTTTTTTAAATTAATTTTATTGGTACACTTTGGATATACATAAAGATCACATTCATCATAGGGAATTTGTACCTGTACATAACGTATCTTAATTCTTCTTTCTTATCCCCATTCTCCTCTCCTCCTTTCAATCCTTCTTCCTCTTCATTTTTGGGCCAGGGATTTAGCTCAGCAGATCCACTGCCTGCCTCACAAGTGTGAGATCCTGGTTTTGATCCCCAGTACCAAAAAAAAAAAAAAAAAAAAAACCAAAAAAAACTTCATTTCTATTTTTTCCCTTCTAGTCTCTTTTTTTTCCCCTTCTCCCTTTCCCCTTCACTTTCCTTTGTTCTCTTTCCCATTTGAACACTTTCTTCCTACTTCTCAATATCTATTATTCATTTTGTTCCTTTTTTGTGCTTTTGGTTTCTTATACAAGAGAAACAATGCAATTTTTAAACATGTATGTCCAATTTATTCCCCCTTAAAAGCCTGTTCTCAAGGGTACATTCATTTACGCAAAAATGTCTGAAGTCTATCTTTATGGCAGAGTAGTTCTCCATTGTTTATAAAAACCACATTTTCTTTATCCATTCATCTGATGATGGGCGTCTGGGCTGTTTCCAAGATTTAGATGTTACAAATTGTGTTGCTATAAACATGGGTGTGCATGTATTGCCGTGGTATGACACTTTTAACTCTTTTGGGAATATACCAAGAAGGGGAATAGATGGGTCAAATGGAACCTCTAGTTTTAGTTTTCTGAGGAATCTCCATACTGATTTTCATATTGGTTATGCCAAAGTACACTCCTACCAACAGGGGAGAAGGGTTTCTTTCCCCCTACAGCCTTGTCAGCATTTGTTATTGGTTGATATCTTGATGATAGCCATTCTTTCTGGAGTGAGATGGAATCTCAGTGTTGTTTTGATTTCTATTTCTTGAATGACCAGAGATGTTCAGCATTTTTTCATATATTTATTTTATGTGTGTTTAGGATTTTTTTTTCCTAGTGGTGTGTGAAATATGCTATTGGTGTTTTGACTGAGATTACATTAAACCTGTATAAGTATGGCCATTTTCACTATATTAGTTCTGCCTATCCAAGAACAAGGGATTTCTTTCCATTTTCTGATATTCTCTTTGATCTCCTTTTTTAGAGTACTGTAGTTTTCTTTTTTTTTTTTTTTTCCATTAAGTTTATTGGTACATTTAAAGCAAACAATAAGTTACATTTATCATTGGGATCTTGTACCTTTACATGATGTATCTTGGTTCTTGTTTTTCCCCATACCCCTGCCCTCGCTTTACCACCCCCTTCACCCTTCCCTATTCACAAAGACTTTGTTTCTATTATTTCTTTTCGTAGTTTTCAGTGTGAAGATCTTTTACTTTCTTTGTGAAATTGATTCCTAAGTTTTTCATTTTTCTTGATGCTCTTGTGAAAGGTTTTGTTTCCATAATTTATTTCTCAGTGAATTTGTTATTTGTGTACAGGAATGCTACTGTTTTTTGAGTAATGACTTTGTATTCTGCTATGCTCCTAAATTTGATTTTTAAATCTAGGAGTATTTTGGTGAAGTTTTGGGGGTATTCTATGTAGAGTATCATATCATCAGCCAATAATTAAAATTTAACTTCTTCCTTTCTTATCCTTATTTTTTTAAATTCCTTTTTCTTGTCTTATTGCTCTGGAAAATATATCCAGGGGCTGGGGATTTAGCTCAGTGGTGCCGCCACCTGCCTTGCAAGCACAAAGACCTGAGTTCTATCCCTGGTACCAAAAAAAAAACCAAAGAAAATGTGTCCAGGACCACATTGAATAGGAGTGGTGATAGTAGGCATCCTTGTTTTACTCCTAGTTTTAGAGTGAAAGCTTCCTGTTTTTGACCATTTAAAATGGTATTAGCTATTAATTTGTCATAGAGGGCTTTTATCAGATTGAGATACTTTTCCAGTTTTCTGCAGGGTATTTATTGTGGATGGGCATTAGACTTTGTCCAGATGCCTTTTCTGTATCTGTTGAGATGATCATGTGGTTTTGTCCTTGGTACTTTTAATGTGCTATATTAACATTTATTGAGTTGTATGTATTGAACCATCCTTGCATTTCTGGGATGAATCCTACTAGGTCTTGATGTATATAGTTTTCTTGATGATTTGCTGCATTCTGGTTTCCAGTATAGTAATGAGGATTTTTGCTTCTGTGTTCAGTAAGGAGATTAGCCTGGAGTTCTCTTTTTTGGTTGGCTCTTTCTGGTTTTGGTTTTAGGATAAAACTTGCTTCTGGGAATGACTTTGGGAGTGTTGCCTCTCTTTCAGTTGCATTAAAGTGTTTGAAGAGTAGTGGCCTTAGATCGTCTCTAAATTTCTTGTTTAATTCAGCAGTCAACCCATTAGCACCTCAGGGCTTTTTTGTTGGTAGTTTTGAAATTACTTGTTTTATTGACTGATACTGGATTATTTAAATTCAACTTTGGTAATTCATGTGTATCAATGAATCTGTCCATTTCTTCTGTTTTCTTTCTTATTAGAGTACGGGTTCTCAAAGTGTTGATGATCTGGATTTCTTCAGGATCTGTTGTGATTTCATTATTTTCATTCCTAATTGTGTGGCTTTGATTCTTATTTCCTTTTTTTTTGGATAAAGTTGACTAAGGTTTTTTTGTTTGTTTGTTGTTTTTTTGTTTTAAAACCAGTTTTAACTGCTATATCGTCGTCAATTTGTTTTAACTAGTCCACTGATACAAATTCATTTATTAATAAAGAACAGGGAAAACAAAAATTTTCTCCTTTTAATTTAGCCTCCAAAATGATGTCATGTTATTGTTACATGATTATGATAGTATTTGTTATGGAATGTCTTATAAAGGAAAATGCTGACTTATGACAGGGAAGATAGATAATCAAGGCTATTATCTAAAATGCTTCTTTTTAGTACTCATGATAATGGCTAGCATTTATTGAGTGTTTACTATGTTTCAGGCATTGTTAATGTACTTGGTCCTCACTCAGTTCTTTAGGACTAATGCCTGAAGAACTTTTAAGATCTTTTTTTTCTTTTTAAATAGTTAATACAACTAAAGTTCAGAGAGATTGGATAATCAACATTAAGGCCATACCTCATAAGAACCTAGGCATTCCAATTTGAAAGCCTATGCTTTTAGCAATTACTATTTTTATTGTTCCACTGCAGAGAAATGAAGCAGTATTATTAATAGAGTAGTTACTGTATAATAGGAACTCTCAAGTACCCAGTGTCACAAAGATGTTAAGTGGTGATTCATTGTTATTAACCCAAGGTAGTGTCAGAGCCAGAACCATTTAAAGGTCATGTGGTCTGATTTCAGTGCTTCAACTCTGGGTGTGTGGCAAATATACCATTACTGTTGTTTTTTGTTGTTGTTGTTGTTGTTTGGCACTTCAAATAAGTTTTTATTCATTATTTTTTCAAAAATTATTATAGCAACAACCTCTTTTAGTGTATTTCTAAAATTTTATAATCCATCAAGCCTATAAAATTTATTTTTTAGAAAACATATTTCATTGTTTTGAATAAACTATATCTCACCAGAAAAAGTTTTTCTTTTAATTTTATTTTGTAATGAAAAACTTTTTAAATGAATATTTTCAACTGTATATAGAAGAAAAGTATGATCATTCCTACATATTCACAGCCCAGTTTTAACATTTATCAGCAAATAAAAAAACTTACTTTGTATTGCCACCTACCTATTCTCACAACCCAAGCATACTCTTGATTATTTTTAAAGCAAATTTGATGTCATATTGTTTTATAAAACTGAAATAAGAAGCTCCATGCATGGCAAAAAGAAAACAAAAATTCATGTAACTTAACCAGAAGCATATTCGGAATCATAAAAATCTAAGAGTTAGAAAAGACAATGTAGTCCATTTAAACAAAACTCTGTGTTACTTCTAACATTTGTGGTTTCAGCCATTTTCTCTTAGATCTTGTTAACTATGTCTTTAAATATTATTTACTGAAGTGACTTAAATCAAAATACTTTGAGAAAGGAAATACACTAATGTGGCCAATACAGTATTTCCACGCATGCACAGATCAAATCTAACCTCCCTTTTTCTACCCTCGGTATTCTCACACCCTTCCTAGTCTTCAGTAATCACTAATTTATAACCTTTGCACATTTTAAAACAGTTTTGCTTGTATTTTCAAAATAACACCTCTTTAGTTTGGTCTCTATCATTTATTTTTGCTCTGGGTTTTTTTCTTGCTTACTAATATTTGTTGTTTTGTTTTTTTGGGGGGTACCAGGGATGAAACTTTGGTTTTTGCACTTGTGAGGCAGGTGGCAGAACCACTGAGCTAAATTCCCAGCCCTTGCCTACTAATTTTGAGTTTAATATGTTCTTACTTTTTGAAGATTTTTTTTAAATGCACTACTATAAACCTCTCTTTCTAATGGTTTTGCTGTACCCCACAAGATTTGATATGTTGTGTTTCCATTTTTATTTGAGTGCTTTTTAAATTTCTCTTGTCTTCCTTCATGGTCCACTACTGGTCAGCTAATAGTATGTTTGTTGTTCAGTCTTCATGTATTTGTATAATTTCTAAGATTTCTTCAGTTGTTGACTTAGTTCTTTTTTTCATTATGATAAAAGACTATATGATTTCAATTTTTTAATTTGTTGACACTTATTTTGTGATCTAATACATGATTTAGTCTAGAGAAAGTTCCCCTCATATGATGAAAAAAATGTTTTGAAAGCATTAGATTGAATAGTCTGTAAATATCTTCTAAGTCCATTTGACCTATAGTATAATTTAACTTTGATTTTTTTTTTTTTTCTGGATCATCTAATGAGGAAAGTAGTCAAAATCCCCCACTATTTTGTTGGAGCTAGTCAGTCTATCTCATTGAGTCTCCTAGTTTGTTTTATAAAATTGAGTGTTCTGACATAAAATGTGCATAGATTTATAATTGTTATATCTTCTGGTTGCAATGATCCCATGATCATTATGTACTAACTTCAGGTCTGTTTTGTCAGCTATAACTACATCTCCTCCTGCTCACCTCAGGTTTCCATTTGCTAAAAGTACCATTTTCCATCCTTTGATTCTGAGTCTGTGTGTGTCTATTGGTGGAGTAGGTCTCTTGCTTTTTCATCATTTTACCTACCTTTCAAAATTTATTTAAATATTACCTTTTTCATGCAGACTAACCAAGAACATAATACATACTCAGCATTAAATGTGTTTACTTATAAGAATATTTTGCCTTTATAATGCAAAAAAGCTTTGAAATGAAAGTACAGTTGTATAGTCCTAATTTATGTGATATACTGTCAGACATGATTTTTTTTAATGCTATACTAAAATTCGAATCTCTTGCTAGAAGTAGTTTAACACTTCTTGTATCTGTAGCATATCTCATAATGCTATTCCATCAGCAGAGGCTTTTATTTGCCAAGAGAATCTCAGTACTATACATCTAGGAAGTTAATAGGAATAGCCTCAGAACTATTTTGAGCATGACTGTTTACAAATCACTGCTTCATAATTGTCAAATTTGGTATGGTATTTGGTATTTCCCAGAATTCTAAATGTAAATTGGTATCTCTGGATGATCTTGGAGATGTACTTCTGGCAGTCTAATATAATCCTTTCTGTGATCACAGTAAATCAAAATGGCTCTTTTTTTTTAGGAGCCCCCACGCCCTGTGCACCCAGCACCCTTACCAGAAGCCCCACAGCCACAGCGTCTGCCTCCAGAAGCTGCCAGCACATCTCTGCCTCAGAAGCCACACTTGAAGTTAGCACGAGTTCAGAGTCAGAATGGCATTGTACTGTCATGGAGTGTCCTGGAGGTAGATCGAAGCTGCGCTGCTGTTGATAGTTATCACCTCTATGCCTACCACGAGGAGCCCAGTGCCACCGTGCCCTCACAGTGGAAGAAGATCGGGGAAGTGAAGGCACTCCCTTTGCCCATGGCATGCACTCTTACCCAGTTTGTGTCTGGTAGCAAGTACTACTTTGCAGTACGAGCAAAGGATATTTATGGACGTTTTGGACCTTTCTGTGATCCTCAGTCAACTGATGTGATCTCTTCTTCCCAGAGCAGTTAAACCTTGGAGCCTTTATCTCTTCTTGTTTCAGAAGTTCCACTTTTTGGTCTTGTTTTTAATCTTGTGCATGATACACAATGTAAATCCACATTGTGCAAGATTTCTTGGACTGTGTGTATACACTACATTTGTTTATAACCAGAAGTAAAATAAACTCAGCCTATAAAGCAACAATCTTTCCTGGACAATTCAAGCTTCAGGGTTTTGAAATATAAATGTGTACCGTCTTTCATTTGAGTCCAGGGAATATATATAGGTCTTTGTATGGGGTTTTTGTTTGTTTCTTTCTGTCCTATTTGTGTGTTGACTACAGTGGAATCTCCTGTTTTCATTCTCAAATTTACCTCTCTGTATGAAGTGAGTAAATCAAAGAATCTGAGGTATGTAACTGGCATGATTCTACTCATAAGGCTTCTATAGAATCATAGTTAAGTGATGTAAACTGAATCTAAACAAAACCCAAAGAAGTAAATAAAAAGCATAATGGCTAGCTTAAAAATAGATTAATTTGAATACAGGAAAGGATCTATTCATTTTTTTCTTTTATTTCTTCTCCTGGGTGGTTAGGTAAAAAACAATCTGCAGAACCCTTCCCCCATCCTTTCCTAATCTGGCTTTTACATTTATTTGTGCCTTAAAGATTAACTACAGAAATAAACATGGCCATATTTTCATTGTTATTTACTCTTCCCTTTCAGCTTTTCCACCTGAATTTCTCTTTCATCTTCATCATATTTGGCACATACACCACGTATTTTTAAACCAAGGCTTTTATATACATCCTACCCCAAATCTGTGGTACCACTGCATTTGACTTGCCATTTTCTTCTAAGTTTATAGATACTTTCAGTTTTGGTCATTATTTAACACTCCATAAAATGGACCAGTGGGACCTACTTTAGCATCCATGTTGCACACTACATTCGATTTCTAAAGCAATTCTAGTTTATAATATCCATAATGTAGTATTCTTAAAAGGAAAAAATAGTAAAGATCACAAAATACATTGAGCAAATATAAGGGGAAAGCTGGGTTTCCTCTTCTCATTTTATCCTATTTTTAATTTTTTATTTCAGTGTTGATTTGTGCCAAGGTAAGCCTGATTTAGCCTTTATCTGCTTTGGATAGAATTTAAAGTATATCTGTTGGCATCCTTTCATATAACAATTAGGTAAAACAAATCTGTGCATCTGTCTCCATTCCTCTTCCAAATAATAAAATTCAGTCACATATTTTCAATATTGAATGCAAGCTATACTGGTTTTTAGGTATTTTCAGTGTAGATAGTTTAGGACAAGAGGGTGGGTTAAGTTTTAATGATGAGTGTGGTTAGGAATATTTTGAAAGATATTCATGGAGTTTTTGAAGTAACTTTTTAAGTTTCTTCCCTTGGTGTTTTGAATTTATATTTCTACCTTCTCTAAAAACGTTATTTTTCCTGGAATTAGAGGAGAGAGCTATCCATTTTATTAGTTTACAACCTTGATGGCTTATAGTAGGAAGCATGTTAGCTGATAAAGAAATTACCTTTGACTTTTTTTTACTGGTCATTATAATATTATTTTAGGTCTGAGGCTTAATAATAGAGGATGCCAACAATTGCCAGAAAGTATAAACTCTCTAAGCCTTCCTTTCACTCTCAAAATGGGACTACAATGAGAATTAGTTTTCTGTGAATCGAATTACCAATCATGTAGATACTGCTCATTCTAGGACAAATGATGATGGTAAGAAATTCCCAGTGTTATAATAATGAAAATTTCAACAGGAGAAAATTGACTTCAAAATGTGTATGTATGAACACCTGTCTATATCTGCATGTATAGATGTTTTTACCTGCAGTGGTTGTAATGTTGATTATGTGGTAAAGATCATTGCGGTTTACAGAGTAAAAAGCTCATATGCAGAATAGTTTATTAGCTGATTTCATGGTCATGTGGTAAAGATTTGCTTACCTGGTCTACAAAAATTTGCCATGGTGAACATTATTATTAATATTCACTATACTAATCTTGTTTTTAAAAATTTAATCGCATTATATAATCATGAAGCAAGTCCAATGGAATGAATGAATATTTTGTATTCTTTTAGCCTATATTGGGTGTTTTCTGTCAATAGGAAAAGAAACCCAGAACTCTAAAAATACATTTATTCCAGAAAATAATTACATAAAACTTTTTATTCCAGATGGTAGAAGGTACAAAGAGATTGTAATTATTTAAGAGAAAAAGTATATTATTGTATGGTCTTCTCAAATTAACCTGACATGGGTTTATGGGCAATAGGCATGTTGGATTGGGCCGGGGATTTAGCTCAGTGGTTCTGCTGCCTGCCTCACAAGCACGAGGACCCGAGTTTGATCCCCGGTACACCCCCAAAAAATAGACATGTTGGATTTACTGAGAGGTACTAGATTAGAATCTTGGGCTTTTTCAGGGGTAGGACTGATGATGATGAATGCTAGCTTGTTTAGTTTCTTTGGGAGAGAAAATGGAGGACTCAGACTTTCTAGCATTTCACACGCCATGGTTATCTTTTTAATTCTTTTGGTAATTTCATGGTATTGTTTTACAAAGTATTATCAGTAAGCTCAGTTGTCCCATTTTGGGAAGGAGTTTGATAAATTTTTAGCCTGACAATACTTGTGTAGGTATTGCCTTATTGGAAATCATGGAAATTTCTGATACTTCAGCCTCAAATAAAGGATGTTTATATGGCATTTAAAGGTAACAGTAACATTTGATACTACTTTGCACTACGTCCAAGTAGTTTTCACCCTGTTTTAAGTGTGAGTAACCTCTTTATAAAATTTTGTTGTTGCTAGTAAATTTTAAAATGGCATATAAAGGTGGTATCGGTTAACAGTTATCTTCATGAGGTAACTATATTCCTCTTTCTCTGGACTCACTTTTTAAAATATGCAGAATGCTTTATCCTGTTTAACATAGTATATAACTTTATGAGAGAAGTAGAGTGCTTCCTTGAAAAGTGCGTATTTGTTTAGATACCATTTGCCTCCCAGAGAAGTGTTTCTTTTCCCTCATCCTCCTTGGCCAAAACTAAATACCTTGAACAAAATAATCTAAAAAGCAAAGCGCTTAGGCTCTTCCCTTGGTACATCTCTGCAGAACCTTCTCTTACAGCATCCATTAAGTATTGACTTAATTTTTGTTACTTGCACTTAGGCTTTAAATATTCTCCAAATTATGCATCAGGTTAGCATTAATCTTGCATGATATACATTATCTTTTTTCTATAAGTTTTCCAATACTGTATAAAATAATGCCTGTGGTCTCATCTCTCACTTTTATATACAGTACTGACATCCTAGCACACTGTGGTACTGCAGAGACCTTCCAAGTATTCTCCTGACTTTCCTTTTTGGGCCGTTTCAGTATCCTCAGTATATCATGATTATTTGGGGTTTTTTTATTGTTAACTGACCTATGGTTGGCCTGTTTTACTGTAAAACTATGCCCTTGTTATCCAGTTATTGCAAATAACTATCTAAAACCAAGATATGATTCTGCCTTCCTCAACTGTTACTGGACAAATTTTTCATTTTCTGGATTTTGAGATACACAGTCAGCAATTTTTATGAAAGGTTAATATGGCAGACTCATCTAATTCCTAAAACTTTTCTCCCTTGGGCCCCCAAAAGAAGAAATATAATAGTACAAACACGTTTTGTATTCTTATATTCAAATAATTTTATCACATTATAATAAGCTTTTCTTTGTTTTGTTTGTAGTCATTGAAGTACTTATCATTTATATGTAAATACTTTTTTCCCCTTGTAAATAAGGTAACTGGGCAATCAAACACTTTGGGTATGTTGATTTTAGTATTTTATCAGCAATTTCAAAACTAAATATAAAAATAAATTCTTTGTAGGAAACTTGCATCCTGATTTTTTTGTTTATTGCAGTTGGAAGTGTAAATAGAAGACAATTTAATGTCTAATATTAACCAGGTTGTAGCAAGTTGCCCTGTTTTTGTTAGGTTTTGATGGTTTTTGTTTTCTCCCTCCCTCCTTTCCTCCTTCCCTCTTTCCCATCTTTCATGTACAGTAGAGTGGTATCTATGTAAGTGTTAACTGTAGTGGGGTTCGTCCGGTAAGCCTAAGATTTATACTTTGAAATAAATGAATGGGTTTTTAACCTTCTGAGTACTCTGATTTATTCTGATTTTTCTCAACTGTTGTATTGAAAATCTTCCACATTGCTTGGAATTACCCATTACATATTGTTATATAGTATGGTTTTTGTAACCTATCTGGCAGTTCCATGGCCCTCCGTCACATGTAATTCTCTAGTTTTGAAAGAAAAGTTGCTGTGCAGAATTGCTGTGACATTGGATATGGTGCTTTAACTAATGGAAGACAAAAGTCATATTTATTACATTGGGTGTCTAGGCTGCACCACAAAGACTCGACTGATGCCTTCCTGTTGATGACCAGAAAAATCACTGCATTCTCTTAGGGGTTGTTTAGAAAGCACACCTCCACAATCCCCTAGTGCTTTACTGTAAAGCATATCTAGCCTGAGGAAGGAGAAAAAGGATTCAAAGAATACAGGTTCTTAGAAGACCTTGCAGTAGTATTCATTTCCAACACCATTGGTGAGAGCTCTGTCATGCAAAGCTACCTAAGAGATCCTGGGAGATGAAGTCTTTGTCTGCAGTCATAAAAAGAAAAATGGATTTGGATAAAAGAGAGAATGGTTCCTGCTATACCCTTAGCTTGTATGCTGAAGCCTAGGGTTGTTATGTATCATACATAATATTTGTCCTGCAGAAAAGACAGTGAATACAATTAAAAACCAGGAAATTAAAGTGATAATTTATTTTCTTAAGTAATTCTGATGAAAAAAATAGCTAAAATAGAACTCTCTCTCGGTATCTTCTTTACAGCAGTTTCTATTCTTTTGACTCCCTCTTTCATTTTATATTAGATTTCAAAATTGGTTTCATGGTAATAAAATCAAAGTCATAGACCTCTGGCATGCCCTGATGCAGAGTTTTGTTGAAACGGTTCCAGTGAAAAGCAGGAAGGCCACCTTGGACAGTGGGGCCACTAATGGCATGGGCTGTGTACTCTGATGCTAGATAGATATCTGCCACCTGTAAAGAGAGAGGAGGTGTACATTTTAGAAAACCATTTGGAAAACAATTAAATGCATGATCTTTAATTCCCCCTTACCCCAGTATTTCACAATATTGGCCTCCTGTAAAACAAAATTGTCCTGCAAGCTTCTTCATGCCTTTTTATTATATGGTCTTTTGTATCCATTTGTCATTTGAATGTCCATTGACTATCAGAGCTGTATTAACAGTATCACCAGATGTGAGAGCTGTAGTCTGAAAACTCATACAGAATTATGAATTGAGGTCCAGAACTTACTTAAATATCAACCCCTTTATGATTTCCGTTTTCTCATAGAATTGCTATGAGAATTAAGGAAAGCAGTGCCTAAGTATATTACATCACAAAAGTTACTAATCAGTGCTGTTAACATGAGTTTTAAAGTAGGCAGAACTCAATATCAAAAAGCCCAAAGGTGGGGGATTTAGCTCAGTTGCACATGCCTGCCTTTAAAGCATAAAGTCCCAAGTTCAATCCCTGGTAACAAAAGCAAAACAAAAAGGCCCTTGGTTCTCAAAAGCAACCACTGGATAGCACATCTTAAACTTAGGGAAAAAAATTTTTTTTTACTCAAAATGGCTGTAAAGAGAGAAACTATATTTTTAACATATCCTTCAACAGAATTTGACAGGCAAGCTTGGTTTCTCCCAGGCAAGGCAGCATAGGTGTATTCTGGGTTGAATGTAGCATTTTTCAGGCACTTTGTTGAGTGCAAATATGAAAAAGAAGGAAATAGCAAAGTACTTTTATGGGGCTTCATGAGTGTTTGGTTCTCTACAACCACTTTAAAAAACAAAACAAAACACATTGAGCATCATTTAGACTAAAACTTTGCTATCCTCACAGCTGAAAAGGTCATGCCAAAGTATTTTCTATTTGGATATTAAATTGATAGATAATAAAAGAGTAAGTGGAGTTGGCAGTCCTGTCACTTTCTGAGGTAAATAATAGTTTATTGCGTAAAAGTTTCTTCCAGAATTTAGGACAGGGAATGCAAATGATAAGACACATGCCCAAGCTGAAAGTGCTAAAGGTTGTGATAGAATGATTCTGCCAACCACTGGTTTTGACACCTCAAATCCAGTAGGATGCAGGTAAATTTATCAACCAATTCTCTGATGAAAAACAAGGCCCTGATATGTAGTGTTTGCTAATTTCCATGGTGAAAATCCTCCCACTATGGCTGTTCTTAAGCTATCAGCATAACATCCATATAAGGCAACTTTAGCACACCACTGCAAACCTATTATTACATGATAGGAGACATACTAGAGCACTTATCAGTTCTAATGTGAGAAACCTTAGTGCTTTGGGCACCTGGTCCAACACTTGTTTCTACAGCTAAATTTGAAGCCACGATTACTTGAAATCATCATTCTCAGTAATGTCCTTTGAAATTTTGCAAAATTTATCACAGTCATAATACACTTACAAATAAGTACTAAACGTTTTATACATATTAAAGTTTATTCCTCTGAGCTAAGTACTTATTATATATGAGGAAATGGAAACATTACAAAAGCACAGGATTTACTAGTAAGTGGCAGGAAAAGCTGATTTGTGAATTAGTTTATGGTTAGACACATCTTTGTGCCTTATGTCAAGAAAATCTCTAGCTTTTTTGTTGTTGTTTTGTTATTTCCTAATTGCTGATTGGAATTAAATTCAAAAGCCGTTGGTCTGGCATGGTGGGGCACACCTGTAATCCCAGCATCCCAGTGGCTGAGGCAGGAGAATCATGAATTCAAGGCCAGCCTAGGCTACATAGTTAGTTCAAGGGCAGCTGGGACTATATAGTGAAACTGTTTTTAAAAAAAACTGGAAAAGAAAATACTCAGTAGCATGTTACCTTCGTGTCATAGCAGCCTCCAGGACTTGGGTTACCTGAGTTCAGGTCCTCCCGGCAGCAGATGGTGCTGCAGGGATCACCCTTACTGTATTGGTCCTCCTTATAATCTAGGAAACAAAGTGATGGGAGAGAAGAGTGAGTATTGGCTATTCTGAAATTTAGCTACAGTAAGATTTCGTTGTCTGTTAGAAGCCTAGAAGAGTCTACCCCTATAGGCCTCAGCAGCCTAGCTTGCTCCTAGACACAGACTTCTCACACAGCTCGTATCAGGGAGGAGCAAATAACTAAATCCTCTGCCCAAGCCCAGCCTACTTCAAGAGCCTTGCAAAGTGAAGAGTGGATGGAAAAGAGAAGGTAAGTGTGCATCATTTTTTCCAATAAAAGAAATATCAATTTGACTTTGATACTATTTATGAAAAATAAAGCATTAAAAAACAATAAAAATAAAGTCTGAATTTTTTGTTTTATAAACTGCTTTTGTCCTTGGGAGAAAATTTGTGTGGTGGTGGGTGGGATGGGGACTGTATGGGTTATTTCTTCTTTATGTTTTACATGTAATATTTTCATTTTCAAAATCTGTAGAAGCTTGAGATTCTGTAGACTATAAAGGAAGTCAAAAGTAAATGAGTGTAAAGTATGATATTAATTGATGCTAGTTAATTTAAATAACTTTTATAGTTCCCTCTACTACAGAGATAATACACTTACATGGATTCCTTATCCATGGGAAACAAAAGGAGTTTGAACAATGACTCTTAAGAAATGTGCTACGTACTGTTGTATCGCATGATATATTTCATGGATGCCATATCAATCACTTTTCCGTGGTCACGCCGGAAGATTTTGGCTCGTGGAGCTAAGTCATAAGAGTAATCCAAACCCAGCCTCTGAACTAATAGCTGGTAGCCACTCCAGTTGTAGACTTTTTCATGGAAAGGAACATTGTAGGAAGGCCAATACCCTGATTTGGAATGGAAGAGAAGAAAGAGATTTGACAAGGAGGAAGACGAAACGATGGAATAAAAGAAACTATTAGTAATTTATGTGGAAAATTGTCATGTGTGTAATCACAAAATGAAACCTCACAGGAAATGAAGCTTTATATGTGAACTCCAGCAGCCACACTGATAATTTCCAGAATTGGTTTACTTCTAAATTTGTTTTCGTTAGAGGAAGAAGAGCATCAGAATTCTTTGGTTTTTCACCCCAAATTCTTATAACAATGTGTCTATGAACCACAAAATAACTTTATTCTCTGAAGAGCAAAAAATATAACACAAAATGACCTGGGGAGATCATCTGAGTGGATTTACTTACTGAAATGTCAAAAGATGGTTCATAAAGGGTAGGGCATTATATACCAACCATGGGGTGGTGGACAGACCCCATGTTGAGAACGAGAAAACCTAAATTCTAGGTTCAGGGTCAATAAAGTTTTAAGGAGTTGATCTTGTTTTGTTTTTATTGTTTGGTTGACAAGAGAGACGGGAAGGGAGATCCCTTAGTGTGGAGAGATTGGGGATGATCTTTAATGTTCTAGCAGGTTTTCAACTGCAAACATCTGTAAAGTCTCTGCTTCATCCAAAGCTTCAGAGTTTGCCAAGGCCCCAAAGCTTATCAGTCACTAACCACCAAACGTGACACAAATCTAGTAAAAGCAGCATTTCAGTTTTTTTGTTTGGCTTGGGTTTTCATTGTCATTGTGTATGGTTTGGAGTCTCAGGCTGGCCTTGAACTAAACATGTAGCCCAGGCTGGCCTCAAACTCACAACAATCCTCTGCCTCAGACTTCTGAGTGCTGGGGATTATAGGCACGTGCCACTATTCCTGGCTCAAAAGCAGCATTTTAGGAACACTGTAGATTGCGCTGGTCTTGAGTTATTGTCAACAGAAACAGCAGTCAAAATAGGAGTGTGTGCCTCACTCAGGGAGTAATTTCCTACCTTTATATTTCAACGGGCCTTGAGTGCCTTTTTATTGTTGTATGGGATTTCCTTGGAGAGGAAATTACTGTGTCAAAGCAAATGACAGCACTTAACTTTGCTAATTCTGGAATAGAGAGCCAGCATCAGAGAAAACTAAAACTTCAGAGTGAAAACCAGAATTGTTGCTAGAACACACCTAGATTATATTGACTTGGGAGTTAAACCACCTGTATTTGAAGCCTGATTCTGCCATCATTTGGTATGTGACCTTCAACAAATTATCTCTCTGTGCCTCAGTATCTTCATCTTTGTATAATAATATGCCTTACAAGTTATATAATCATTACCTTAAAAGGATTACTGTGAGCAATAAATGAGTTCCAACAGGTGGGATGTTTATAATAGTGTGTAATATTTGGTAAACATTAAATATTAACTGTTTGAGAACAGCTCAAAAGAATAATATAAATGGCTGCTTTACATATTATGTTTTCATAAAGCTTCATGATTTACAAAGCTTCATGATTGCAAATCATAGCAAATTTTTAATCTCACAACACTTAGTAATATATAACCATCCCTTCTTATAAGGAGGAAACAGGTTCATACAAGTCAAATTGCTTCCTTGGCTTTCAAAACTTGAAAAAGCACTTCTGATTAAAAATACTATAGCTTCTATCACTATATGACAGATGGCTGTAAATGCCAGGTGATTTGGGGTGACCTTTTTAATGTTTACATAACATGACTTACTTATTTGGGCACATCATATGTATTGTTCTGAATCTTTCCACATAGTGAAATGGTAGCAGTAATATTTATCTGGTAGCATGTTATAAAGATCAAACAAGAAAACACAAGTAAATGGCCCAGTAGAGTCAAGAATATGGAAGATAGTGAATTTAATTTTCTGTTTTTCCCTCCTCTGGCAAAACACACCACACACACACACACACACACACACACACACACACACACAGTATTAACTTTTTTTAGTGTTAGGGAAATTTCATTGGCTAGAAATGGGACTGAAAAGAACCTAAATCCACCATTCTCTCAGCAATACAAAGAAGAAATTCTAGGGGCCGGGGATTTTAGCTCAGTGTTTCTGCCACCTGCTTCACAAGCAGAAGGTCCTGAGTTCAATCTCTGGTGCCAAAAAAAAAAAAAAAAAAAAGAAGAAAGAAATTTTGCTTCTAGCAAGCATCTCTCTCAGGTGCACACTGTTATTATTAGGCTCTTAAAGTTCAGAGAGCTAGGTTCTCAGTTTTCAGTTGCTATGCTAATCAACTAACTAATTAATGATTTGGCTTCTCAGGTAAAATTTTCCACAAGAAAATAGAGGTTTCCTATTTGGTGGATATGAACTTTATGACAATTGTGACTCCCACCTTTAAAAAGTCTGTTTGACGTGTGAAGTGTTGTGTTCATTTGGTTGGTGCAACCCTCTCGTGCTGAGGTGGCTCACCCAGGTGTTATTACAACATCAATGCAGAGACCTGGTAAATAGGATAAGGTCTTGATCCCTAAGGCCCACATTTTATTATGAATCTGTTCCTACTTATCTATCAGCTCATCTATTGTGATAGTCTCCTAATTAGTCTTCTTTCTTTTCTCTCATCTTCACTCTGTTTTCTCTTGTCAAAAATTCTTTTTTTTTTTTTTTTTTTTGGTACTGGGGATTGTACTTGGGACCTTTCGCCTGCGAGGCAGGCAGCAGCATCACTGAACTAAATGCCCAGCCCAGAAATTCTCATTTTATAAAGAACAAAAACCTCCTGACAGGGTTTATAATGTTGACATTTTCTGTCACTACTACATATCGCCATTGATTTGTGACTGTCTTAGTCAGTTTTCTGGTTGCTAAAACAAAATACCCAACACCCAAAGTTAAAGGAGGAAAGGTTTATTTTGGCTTATGGTTTGTAGAGTTTTAGTCCATAGTTGGCTGGCTCCAAGGCATAGTAGAATGGCAAAGGGACATCACAGAGGAGAAATAGTTCATGGCAGACAGAAGACAGCCAAAGCAGCAAGCAAGCAAGCATCAGCAAGAGACAAGACCACACTCTTTCTGACCCTTACATCTTACCCAGGCCACCTACCCTTAGGGCAGGTAGCACTCACAACCTTAAACCTAGCATGGCATAGTGAATCCATCCCAGCATCATCCTTGATCCCAGCAGCACAAGCCCCACCTATGACTGAAGCTTTGGGAGACATCTAGATAACAGTTGTAACAGTGACCCTCCTATGAAACTGTAAAGATCCACTTTTCCAGATCCAAAACTTCCTGTGAACCAGTTTCAGAATTCAGGGATTTTCAGATTTTAATAATAACAACTGAGTATGTATATTATAGTATAATAATATGTTCTCTGTGGGGAATCATACCTTATAATCAAAGACTGATATTTTGGTAGCCTAGTGTGTGAACTGTTTAAGACGGAAGAAGTAAAAGGTCTGAATTCATTCAGGGCCATTTTGTGGCAATTTTTGCTGACAAGTAGTTTAGGTCATATTTTGTGACTAAGTGATTTAGAACCAAAACAACTTTTGGTTTCACAGTTTGGGATGTTTGTCTTTTGACAGGCTCTTGCTAATTTGCTTAGACTGGCCACAAACTTTCAGTTCTCCTACCTCAGCCTCCCAAATAGCTGGGATCACAGGCATGTGCCACTACACCTGGCTTACAGTTTTGGAATTTCGAAATTGTAGCAGATATCCCTGCCCAGTACTAGAGGACTGAGTGACACCTGCTTCTTGCTTTCCATAATTCAGCTATATTGTTTTCTATCAGTCAAACAGAAGCCCTAGATGACTCAAGTGGGCATGTCAGATGGCAGACTGGCTGAGTGCAGCCCTTTCCACAGTGGCTGCCACCAAGGCCTAAGCCCTGGTCTGTGAAGTGGCAGGGCTCTACTCAGTTACATGCAGCTGAGGTCAGTGTGACCCCAGTTAAATCCTTTCCCCCAAATTATGACTTCTTACTGACCCAATAGGTTGCTTGCTAATTGCACCTGGTCCCAGTACCTGTTTATTCTATCCAAGCACGATAAGCAGTGCTTGCTCCCTTACAACTCTGCCCGGCACCATCATGCCAAGTGTTCAGCAGTATTTCACTGGATGCCTTCGAAGCCTAACCTGTTCCCTATTCCTTCCCATGCTTGCATTCAAATACTGGATGTGCTTTTTTGTTTTTGCTCCCCAGAGAAGCACTGATCAGTCCTGAGACCCAGCTTTTTCTCTAAGTCTTGTTTCCTATCTTTATTCCTTTCTTTTTTTTTTTTTTTTTTTTTTTTTTATTCTTTATCCAGTTTCCAACGGATGGGCAAATAGGTTGTTTCCAAGATTTAGCTATTACAAACTTTTAAGAGTTTTTTGTTTTTGTTTTTTTTTTTGAGACAGGGTCTCACTGTGTAGTTGAGACTGACCTGGAACTTACTATGTAGCCCAGGGTAGTCTCAAACTCACAGCGATCCTCCTGCCTCAGCCTCCTGAGTGCTGGGATTACAGGTGTGTGCCACCACACCTGGCTCCTGTCTTTATTCTTTAATTAGCTTTGTGTTGTGGCTCATAGCAGACTAGGATCCCCTGCAGGGGTCTCTGGTAAATGTTCCCTTTCCCATTCCCTACACAAAATGATATATAAGTGATTGTGGATCTATGCCATGACTGTTCTATTTTACAGATGAAGAAAGTGAGACCTGGAGAGGTTGAATAATTTCCCTGAGGTTTTTTTTTTGGGGGGGGTGGTACTAGGGATTGAACTTGGGACCTTGCGCTTGTAAGGCAGGCAGCCAAACCACTGAGATAAATCTCTGGCCCCTTCCCTAAGTTTTTGAGGAGCTAAAATTCGAGTTCAGATACTGTTGATTCCAGGGCTTCAAATGTCTGAGCTGTTCTCTTACTCTTCAAATCTACCCTTTCTGATCCCTCCTATTTAACTACCAAGTTCCTAGCATGCAGAGGTGTCCTCACTTTTCCACCCCTGAGCCAGAATAGCATTACATAAATATTTGTTGAATTAGACTTAAAGCTCTGACCAAGAACCCAGGAGAGAAGGCAATACTAGGGACATGAGAAATTAGTGTCCTGATTGGCATGTGGTCTTTAAAGCATCTGAAGGGTAAGTGCACACATTGTGCTGACTCTGGTAATTCTTTCCCAGTGTAACTAGTGATGGCACCCTCTGCTTTTCCCCACTATGCCCTCCTCTATCATCCTGTTACACATCATCCACACCCTCAGCATATGTGCACACATGCACATCACACTTCCAGACACAGCACAAAGAAGGTACCTTTTCGTAGGACTTCAGTTTGTTCAGAGTACTCTACATATGTGGGAATTTGCTCCACAACATACAGTGTGCCTTTGTCAAGACTCTTATTCAGTTTTACCTTCTTCAAGTCCAGAACCATGTATTGATTATTATAGGTGCCTGAAATATTGGGAGACACAAAAACATAGCGTGGATGTGGCTGTACAGGTGAACAATTCAAATACATGCACATACCTACAAGAGATGCCGCAGCACAACTTACCAGAGTTGTATTTTGAAAAGATCTCTGCCCAGTTCTTGCCACCATCTGCCATCATATTGGCCACACGAACTCTTTGCCAAGCAAAGAGAGACTCTGGCATCACTAGCTTCAGCAGGGTCTTATTATATACACTGTTTGTGGTCTGTAGCAATATCAAACCACTGCTAAGAATATAAAAGTCATCCAGGGACTCCAGAAATCCTGCAGGAAAGACAAATACACAAATTATCATACATACGCATGGAATACTGAACCATCATTATTAGCACAGAGCTTTACACAATGCATTTTACAAACTATTACTTATTATCTTTCCTGATTTGCAGCAGCATCTCCTAGCTTTGGGTCACTTGTGTGGTAGCACCCCAACTGTTGCTTATAGAGGTGGCAGTGACCTCCCCGCTGGATCCAACCCTGAAATTTTGACTTTATGATTTGTGTGGGGGCCCAGTCATGGCCCACTGGAGTTTGACATTTGGAAAATAACTTCTTCCTGTATAATTAAGGCATCAACATTTGCTACTTTTCAAGGAAACTGTTTGTTGAGCTTGTTTTGATTCTTTGACCCTGACATAACAGGAAACTCATTAGCTGAAGATCTGATGTTATCTGTAAGAGTCAGGAAATCCGGTCTTTGCATAAAGATAAAAAAAAGATTGCTTGGTGTTTTCTGTTGTTGTGTGCCCTTAAAATCTTCCTTTGATGCAAGCCCATAAAAGGAGCTGTTTCAGTGAAATAAATCAGACTTCTCTTCGTCTCCACTCAGGCTTGAGTGTTCTTTCCTTTCTCAATCCTCACTCCCCGACTCAGGTATGTTCGTGTTGTGACGGCTGGACTGCCACAGATTTGGGATTAAAGAATATATCAAATCAAGAATGTCCTGTTTCTAAAAGGATAAACAGGATTGGACCCTAGTATTTTGCAGAACTTTTTAATTAAGGAAGGTATGAGCAGGGTTTATTATCGGACAGTTAAGACTATGGATGCTTTCACTTTCTTCTTTCTACTGATTTCAGTTGAAGGAATTTTTTTTATAAGTCTACATGGTTTTTCTAAATGGGAATCATCTCTATGTTAAAGAGTGGACATCGTTTTAAAACTAGGACCTTTTTCCTGGACGAAAGTTGGAGGCAACTGAGGAAAATCAGTGGAGACAGTCTTTTTGTTAGGCCTGTTTTGTGCTTTATGCTGGGATGAGGGTGGAAGAGACACATCTATAACAAGAAGAGAGGATATACTGTCATTGGTAAGTAACAGTAATGGACAAACAGTTAAAGAAATGACAGGAAAGGCTCCCAGTGAGAGAGTTAGAAGGGTCCAAAGTGATAAATTCCTCTGACGCATCTTCATGAATGGAATCAAGGGCCTTATAAAAGAGGTGCAAGGGAGCCAGCCAGTCCTTCCATCATGTGAGAACACAGCAGATGGCACCTTCTAATGAAAAGAGTCCTCACCAGGCACACAATGGACTGGTACCCGGATCTTGGTCTTCACAGCCTCTGTAACTTTGAGTGGTAAATATTTGTTATTTATAAATTACCCAGTTTAAGGCGCTATATTAGAATAGACTGAAATAGTCCCATACCTCTACCATAATCAGTTTGATCATTTTTGCCATGTCTGAGTACTGTCTAAAGTGTTTACTTAATATTTTAAATATATGCATTGTGAATGGCTCTTCAACATGTGTATTACAGTTAACATATTATAGTTTTGTTTAAGCCTCTTTTCAAACAAAATGTTTAGCCTTGTCACATACACCAATGTCTAAAGAACCAGGAGTGTAATGTTTTTATTTTCTCTCCAAATAAAACACATCGAAACAAATACATTTCTACTAATGTACAAAAATAATACACCCATGAACCACCAAATCATCTCACTAGCACTACGCATGCTACTCTACACCTACTCTACAGCTGGAATGGGAAGGGGTCACCTTGAGCTACAGAGTTTGGACCATGGATTGGGGATGAGAAGGCCTATGGCTGCACTATCAAATCTGGCAATTCTCCTTCTGCCTCTCTATTCCTATTTTCTTTCTTTTATAACCAGGGCTTAAGCCCATGCCATTAAGCTCTAGCAATCTAAATTTAATTTCTGGAAATTTCTGAGGAGGAATGTTATCCGATGAGAGGAGTGTCCATCTAACGTCAAGCTTCTCCACAAGGCGAATAAAATGTTAGGCTCTACAGAGGTCTATGGAAACTACAGACAGTTGTAATCTCCAGGTGGTACAAGGCTTGATGGCATCTTGGAATGAAATTTTAACCAGTAACATCTCTAGGAAGTCCCAGCCTGGACACACAGTATATAGCTTGTTGAAGTGTAGGACAGTTTTCTACAACCATTTATTTCTTGGGCTGGTTCACTTTTACCATGCTCAAACTGGAAAACCACATTTAGCAGGCTTGAGCAAGTTTTCTTTCCTCAGGGTAGAATGCTGCACTTCTGGTACAGTAAATCTGTGCACTCCTTACTGTAGCAGCCTCTCTGGACACAAGAGGGCAGGCATTGTTTAGCACATGTAAGTAAATCATGGCACTAATGTTGAAAGAGTATGCTGTCATTTCAGAGCAAGATATTTTATTAAAGAGACTGGAAGATAGAAAAAAATATAGGGTGTCCAGACTTCTGGAACAAAACACCTGAATCGGTCTGCAAAAAGTACTTTTGAGGCTAATTCTACATTTTAAGAGTTAAAAAAAAAAAAAGAAAAGGCCTACAAAGGGAACAAAGTCTTGACACAAGAAAAGCAAATATTCTTTGACTATGTAAAAGCATGTTCTTGCTCTTGTCTTTATTAGCAGCTTTGCAAGGGAAACCATTTGAGATCAGGAGAAAGTGACGTTCTCTTGTGTTTTGTGGATGCCAGCATGCAAATCATTCGTCATGGTAATCTTTTTTGCTGAATTTAACTGAAAATTAAAAGGTAACCCTTTTAATGAAACACATTTTAAAATTAAAGTTAATGAAGCATATGTTAAAACTCAAAAGTAAAGAGTAACCATTATCCTTAGATACCATTTATCGCCTAGTACAAGCCAGAAAGGTCGACTCTAATTACTCTGGTAAGTACATTTATAACATGCCCACTAGCATAACTGCCAGCATTAGCACTTCCAAAGCACATAAGTGCAGATCAAACACACCCCTGCCTTCTAGAAGAATAGACTCAGTGCTGACCAAGGACACAAAGAACTATAGCACCTCCCTCTAGTCTTTGGTTTTATTTTCCGAGTTTTGGTTACCTATGGTCAATTACAATTTGAAAATATTTAATCAAGAATTTCTAAGAATAAGGCAGTTAATAACGTCACAATGATATATTGTTATAATTTAAAAATTTGTATTATTTACTAGTATCTTACTGTGCCGAACTTATAAATTAAGCTTTGTTACAGTTATATTTGATCGTGGGAAAACATGCAGGGTTCAGTGTTATTATGTCTTACGCAACCACTGGAGTTTTGAGAATGCATCCTGCATCGATAAGGGAGAATTACTGTTCGGTTCAGGATCTGTTGCAGGGTCATGACTGTAAAAGTAGCTGCACTGCTTGTGTTTATCCCTCCTCTGTCCATACTCTATGCACTGTGACTTTGCAGCATCTACCATTGAGACGTTTTTAGTTCTGTGCCTCTTACATTCAGGCTACATTTTGGAACTTGCTGCAATTATAGAATCCGCCAGTTCTGAGCGGAGGCCTCAAGAGACTTGCACAGTCTGCTCAATGCCTGGTACAGCAAGCCTGCTCTAGCTTGATCTCTGAGATTGTAAACCATGTGAGGAAGGACCATTCACCTCAGCAAACCCCACACATGCTACAGAGTTTGTCCAAGTTCAGCAGTGCTGCCTTCCAACCCACAGATAAATCAGATGCACGAATACACTCCTCTGAGGTCCAGCAAGATCCACTTAGCTGACCCATGGTCTCAAAGTGAAGAACAATCAACATTGCTTTCAGCCTCAAAGTTTTGGGGCTGAATATCAAAATGTGATTTTTTTTTAATGGAGCCATACCTAACTGATACAATGATAGTAATTCAATTGTACAATATATTTTTTTGTTTGTTTTTGAGACAGGGTCTCACTATGTAGTTGAGACTGACCTGGAACTCACTATGTAGCCCAGGCTGGTCTCGAACTTGCAGCAATCCTCCTGCCTCAGCCTCCCGAGTGCTGGGATTACCTCCCTCTGCTCCCCTCTGTCTCCATCAGAACCCCTGCTCTGAGGTCTTGTCTGCAACCAGAAAATATCCTTACTCATTCCAAGAAAAGGAAGCCCATGGGCTCCTAGCCACCCCAGGATGCAAAGTCCTACAGCCCTCTCTTCTGTCTGCTCCACAACAGGCTTGGCCTTCCCATGCCTTACATAATGGTACTTAACCGCTTTCCAGCCTGCAACGGTCCTAACTGATAAAAATCCATTTCTACTTCTCCTTCCAGTGATTATTCTTCAATCAAGTAAGCAATAACTGACCACATGTCTACCTAGTGCCGAGTACAAATGTGGTCAGTGAAGGATTTGACTGCTGCATATTCAAGCCCCTTACTGTACAGCCAAAATATCCCACAGTATCCACATAAAGGAATTCTTAATTCTCTTTAAGGTTTCATATACAAGCAAAATGTAAATATAAAGAAAGTGGGTTTGTATTTAATCAGAATTTTGTTATTATCATCCACATCAAAGTGAAATGTGTTTTTCTTTTTTTGTAGCAGAGATCAAACTCAGGACCTTGTGCTTACAAGGCAGGTAGCAGCACCACTGAGCTAAATCCCTAGCCCTGAAATGTGTTTTTTATCAAAAGTAAATTATCTTAATTTCAACTATATGATTTATTTACTTTTTCCCTTCCTATTTTCCACAAAGCAGGTGAGCTTCATTAGAGAAGGGGCTTTTTCTGTCTTGTTAACTGGTGTTTATTCAACACCAAGGGTTGGATACACAGCAAGGGTTCAATAAATAATTCCGAAATCTGAGGGAAAAAAGAAGCCAATAGCAACTAAAATTCACTGTGCATCTCCTGCATATGAGTTACCTTGCTTAGAAGGATAGATGCTATCATTTGATCTTCATAAGAAGTGCTTAAAGGAGCTATTCAAATTATTTAAAGCCAATAAACAATGTGTCAGGAATAAGTGTGACTGAGTGCATGTCGTTCCCACTTTACACACACCTCACATGTGTGCTGGGA